GTATTTAATGTTCGGCCCCGCCCGAACTTAGACTTTCTTACTTGTTTAGTGTCACTCCCTTCTCTCGGCAGAAAAAAGAACGCTAATACATTATTCTCGCATTTATTTCAATCAGTGGAGTTCCTGAAATATGAACAATTTCAAAAAATGGACTGGCACCTTTTCACCCTTAGGTGACGATATTTTCTTTTTAATAACTTTGGGAATTTTTCCAATAGAATATTCATATTAGAGGCAATGAACGTTGGCATCAAATACAACATATTTGTGAAGTTTCAAATTAAACGAAAAATGATTTGAGAAACTAAAATTCCATTTTTTTTAATTTTTATTGGCAAACTCGAAATTTATTCTAAAATTATTATACAAATATGTGCATGTAGAAAGTAATGTACCTATATGTGCATAAGGAACATGATTCAATAATTAAAGGTTTGCTCAATAGTGACATTAGAGTTTTGACACTCCTTTACAAAATGTTGCACACACACGCACCAACACACAGGGCCTTGCTATTGGAGCCGATTTTTGCCGTACTTTTACATAATATGACTTTTAAGTTAAGGCGTGCAAGTACCATACATAGGAGTAGATGACTACGTATGGTGCCACGGGGCGTATACGTTGCATACGCAACTACGGGCATATGAGCACTAGCGCTTATTTTCACTTTTTTTATCATATCTTCTTTAAGTTTTCATTTAAATACGATTTCGCGAAGGAATCTTGTTCGTTATACAAAACTGAAGATAATGCATTTTTTAAGATAGGCGAACCACCATTTTCGATCAAAAATACGTTTTTGTTGAAAAATGTAATAACTCGTGGGATTTGCTCATATAGCCACTGGTGGGTGTAAGATTTTTCTAAACTAGTATGTCAACCCTCATTTGGAATTGGAGTTTTGAGGAGCATCAGCTAAGACTAAAAAATGGTTTCCACGACAGTCAGATCTACGCGCCGGGAACCACTTATATTTTTTTCTGGTATTGGTATCCTGTTGTTAAAAGCAACAAGAAAGTGGTAGAGGTAACATAAAAATGTCTAAGATTCTTCTTCCTCTCTCTCTCTCTCTGAAGCTTCTGGTATAAAAAGCAGTCCCAAGATTTCTGTTGCTTGAACAAAACTATGAAAAAGAGTACATCCAAGGGACTACAAAGCCGCATGAAGTAAATTAATTAATTTTGGAATATTCAATGTACATATCGTCACTAGACATGAATAAAGGAGCGCTAGTATTTTGACAACGAAAAGAAAAAAAACGCCTAAGAAGAACTTCGGCGAAGAAAGGCTCGTAACCTTTCGCAATTCTATCATCTCCTTAACCACATTTTAATTCCAATTACCTAACGCTCAACTAATTTGACGCTGAAGCCGTTTACTCAATTGTAAACAATTATTACATAATAGAGTGATAAACATAAAATTCCCACAAGACTTTCGCTCAACACAATAATGCAACATACAATGCATTCATGCCGCCCTTTAACCGCAAGCATGCCCACTGAACAGGAAAGTTAATGCATCCGTTTGCCGAGTAAGGGCAGCACACAGGCAAGCGTAATGCACAGTGAAAGGATGATCAAAGGAAACACTGTTCGTTTGTATGCAATGTCGCCGACGCGTCATCAATATGTTGCAGCCAAGGAAGCAACGTTGGCGCTGATTGTTGTCGTCATTCGACACAGCCTAATAGATGTAAATACAGTGGAAACATAAAAGAGTGTGTGGTGGTGTGTTTCGACTGCTTTTTCATTATGTTGTTTTATGTATTCCGATTTTATACTAGCAAAAGCAAACAAACAAAAGCGGTCAGTGTTGTTGCTCTGTTGATAATGTTGGTTGAATGTTGCTCCGTGGCGCATGCAACGAATGTCAAGCAAAATAATAATAATTTAATAAAGTAGGCACAGACATATACACTATTGTGTGTATGATTAAGATGCATACATGCATATGAGGCCTTGTGAGCTAGAGTAGCCTAACTGACATGTAAAAAAAATGTAAGCACAGTTTTAAATGCGTAACTGGAATCGAAACGCTAATAACTTTTTTAGTTTCCTTTTACTATAATAGTACCATCACACATGCAGGTGCAGTGACCTTTTCAGTAAAGGACCGTGTTTCTTATTTGTAGATCCTTATTTTTCATATTAGAAAGAAAAAATACATAACGGTTAAATTAGTTTTAGGGAACTTGTAAGA